AGTAGCAGTAGTAGTAGTAGTAATAGTACTACTGGTAATAGTCGTAGTAGTTGCAGTAGCAGCAGCAGTAGAAGTAGTAGTAGTAGCAGTAGTAGTAGTAGTAGTGGTAGTAGCAGTAATAGCAGTAGTAGTAGTAGCAGTAGTAGTGGTGAAGTAGTAGTAAGAGTGGATGTGGCAGCAGTCGTAGTAGTAGCAGTAGTAGTAGTAGTAGTAGTAAGAGTAAGAGTAAGAGTAAGAGTAGCAGCACTACTAATATTTATAGTAGTAGCTGTAGTGGTGGTAGGGGTAGTGTAGTAGTAGTAGTAGTAATAGTAGTAGTAGGAGTAGGAGGAGGAGGAGGAGGAGAAGGAGTAGTAGTACGACAAGTAGTCGTAGCAGTAGCAGTAGTAGCGGTAGTAGTAGCAGTCGTAATAGTAGTAGTAATAGTAGCAGTAGTAGTAGCAGCAGGAGTAGTAGTGGTAGTCGTGGTAGTAGTGGTAGGAGTAGTAGTAGTAGCAGTAGTAGTAGTAGCCATTGTAATAATAGTACTAGTAGTAGTAGTAGTAGTAGTAGTAGTAGTAGTAGTAGTAGTAGTAGTAGTAGTAGTAGTAGTAGTAATAGTAGTAGCAGTAGTAGTATCAGCCAGCGTTGCCTCCAAATATACTAGACGACTCGAATCCAGGTATCAAAGGAATCAAGCATGTTTGGAATCCGCAACTCAGCAAGCAAGCAAGCGTACGAGCAAGCGCGCAAGCAAGCAAGCAAGGAAGCAAGCAAGCACGCAAGCAAGCAAGCGTGCAAGCGTGCAAGCGCACAAGCAAGCAAGCAAGCATAGGCATAGGCGGAGAAGCGCTCAGAGGTGGTGCATAGGCATAAGCATAGGCATTGGTATAGGAGCGCTCAGAGGTGGTGCCTAGGCATAGGCATAGGCATCGGCATAGGCATTGGCATAGGCATAGGCGTAGGCATAGGAGTTCGGGGGGAGGCATCGGCATAGGCATAGGCATAGCCATATGAATTAGGGGGGCATAGGGGTTAGGGGGGGCAACGGGCCAATTTGTCAGGTTTAAATTAGACCTCCACGAGGGCAAGCCCATTTGGGGAATCGTAGCAGTAGTAGTAGTAGTAGTAGTAGTAGTAGTAGCAGCAGCAGCAGTAGTAGTAGGAGTAGTAGTGGTAGTAGTAGTAGTAGTAGTAGTAGTAGTAGTAGTAGTAGTAGTAGTAGTAGTAGTAGTAGTAGTAGTAGTAGTCGTAGTGGTAGTAGTAGTGGTAGTAGTAGTGGTCGTAGCAGTAATAGCGGTAGTAGTAGTAGTAGTAGTAGTAGTAGTAGTAGTAGTAGTAGTAGTAGTAGTAGTAGTAGTAGTAGTAGTAGTAGTAGTAGTAGTAGTAACAATAATAGTAGTAGCAGCAACAATCGTAGGAATAGTAGTAGTAGTAGCAGCAGCAGCAGCAGCAGTAGAGTAGCAATGGTAAACGTCCAGATTCAGCTGCCTACGGCATAGAGCCCGTGTTAGTGGCACGTGCGGGGCAGTAGTTGCGTGAGGTAGGCGGACAATCTGGTTCCAGTGGTAGCAACAAGAACAGCATAAACAGTTGTGGTAACACTCGGACAGTCGTGGCAATCGTGATGACGACCGCAGGAGCAGCAGCAATAGCAGGAGAAACACCAGGGCAGGAGGGAAGGAGAGGGAGAGGAGGGGGCAAGGACGAGAAGGTGGAGGAGATGCAGTGGGAGGGGGGCGACGACGGCGGGCGAGAAAGAGCGGGGAGGATGAGGGAGAGGGGGGCGAGGAGGAACGATGCGAAAAGTAGAAGGCGGAAGAAAAGCAGTAGGTAAAGAGATAGATCGGCGTAATCTGAGATTTCCAACCGCAAGCTGAAAAAGAGAATCTAACTACTGGTTGCTAGTCTTAGTGCCAAACAGGCTACCATTTTGGGGGGAGGACTCTGATGCGTTCGCTCACATCGAAACTGCACCCACTCCTTCCTCCTCCATCCCCCGTCATCCTCCTCCTTCTACAGCTGCAACTCTCTAGCAGACGAGTTGTAATGTCACACCGCCAGCGACGTCCAGATCACGTGCCGCGGAGGTAGGGGGAAAAATGAGCAAGGAGTGAGGAGTGAGGAAGGAGAAAGGAGGAAGGAGGAAGGAGGAAGGAGGAGCCAGAGAGGAGGAGGGAGGATGAAGGCGACGGTGATTCCACAGGTGTGAACGTCGGAGGCTCCACCGTAGTCACATCACAAGAAGAGGGCTGCCACAAGAGACGGAAATGGATGAGCAGGTAAGGCACGACCGCGACACGGGCTTGCTGAAGGCCATGGCCTCTCCAAAGCTGCGGCAAGGGAGAGACCCTCGAGGGTTTGGGGCCCCTCCATGGCCCCAGATGTGGTCGAAACCCGCGTGGCCCCCCCCCAACACGATGACTACGGTGTTCCTGGAAATCTGAAAACATGACCGACCTTTCGGCAAGCGCCCGTCTGCAGGGGAGCACGAGACTAAGCTGAAAGCTGCTCCTCCTCCTCCTCCTCCTCCTCCTCCTCCTCCTCCTCCTCCTCTTTCTCGACCGCCTGTTCCTCCTTTTTCCTCCTCCCTCCTCCCTTCCCCCTCCCTCTACTCATGCTCCTCCTCCTCCTCCTCCTCCTCCTCCTCCTCCTCCTCCTGTTCCTCCTCCACCCTCCCCCTTTTGGGACATGGCTCGTTACACAGCCCTTTATTCCACTGCATGCTCCTCCACAAGAGGAGAGGCCGGGGGGACTCGACGATCGGCACAGCTGCGGCCTCTCCGCCGCAGCTGCGCAGGCAGGCGGGGCCAGCCCAGCCCTCCAGCTCACTGGTCTTGTTCGGCCCGTGGGCCACAGGGCTCTGTGCATAGGAGGGACGTCGAGGTCGCTGTCAATGCCCGGCCTCGTCGAGGCCCCAGGAGACGTGGATCCCCAGGGGAATCCGGTGAGCCTACCGGGACCGACCCCTGCAGGGACCAGTCTACATCTCATACAGTCAGACCGTATACTAAGGACGCACGATGAGGATGCAGGGGCCTTGGAAGGCCATGTCGACACCTTCGACCGGGGCACGGCCAGCGAAAGCGGCCAAGGACGGGCCGAAGGAAAAGAATGCAAGGGTAACCTTGGAAAACGGCTCATCCTTACTATGCGGGTTGACTGTACCGTTTTCGAATGGCCCCGGGGTGCGCACAGAGGCCAAACATTGGGACAATAACGAAGCCCCGATAGGATTGGCGCAGGAAGCGTTCTGGGAGTGCTGGGGCTTCTGGCGGCCCTGGACCGTTCGCCTCTGGCCGCGCGGGCCAGCAAGAGAAACCTGGAAGTCCTGAAACGCCTCACGATCATGTCAATCCTCCTCTTGTAAGCCCCAAGAGGCCCCTAAGAGGCCCCCAAGAGGCCCAAAAAAGGCCCCAGGACTTCCGCCAACACGCCTCGGAACTGCCTCCAAGAGGCTCCGACAGGCCCTCAAACAGATCTCAAGACGCCCACAAGAGCCCCCACACAGTGCCCAAGAAACCCACGACGCCTCCAGTGGACTCCACGCCTCTTCTGGGGGTCGGCGGGATGGTGTACTAAGCCTCTAAAATCATATGATTCCTCTTTGAACAGAAACGCCGGGATCGAAACAGGTGCAGTCGGACCTAGGCCAGAAGAACTTCCCTCAAGAACATGAGATCTTCCGTGGGCCAAAACACACAGAACATCCAAGGGCACCCTGCCCAGAATGCACAAGAAGAACGTCCCACACGCACGAAGAGCACAAGGGTAGCCTCCCCGAACCGATCTCGATCTGATACCTCGGTCCGACTGACGAACCAATCCGCGCAGAGGCACGAGAAGAACGCTCCCCCCCGCAACGCCGCAGCCCCGCCTCTGCGTACAGTCTGGCACACGGGGGGCAGGGAGAGCACAGCCTCGAAACGGAAGCATCGACGGCCGTCGTCTCGCGAGGTCCCGCGCAGGGACGGCCGCAGGGCCGCGATCCCTGGAGATCTCGCGGGGAGCCTAGGCCCTCGCCCGAGAAGCCTGCTCGAGGAGCCAAGAATTCCTGGCCTCTGGACCTCTCGCGACCTCGGGAGGCCTCCGAAAGCATCTGGAGCATCCAGAACTCCATAGAGACCCTCCTCCTCCTCCTCCCCGCTCCTCCTCCGACGGCGGCGACGACGACGACGACGACGGCGGCAACGACGACGACGACGGCGGCGGCGGCGGCGGCGGCAGCGGCGACGACGACGACGACGAGCACCACCAGCACCACCACGACCATGGCGACATGACCACCGCGACGACGACTGCGACGAGCACGACGACCGATACGAGGTCGTCCTGATCCTGATCGTTTGAATGCGCGAGGCTCTGGAGCTCCAGAGCCCATCTCTCGCACGGACTCGGCGCTGCGGGTCGTCTTCCCTGGGGGCCCGGGGCCCGAATCGGGCGCCCCCGAAGCCCAGACTCGGAAAAGGCCGACCGTACAGCGGGGATTCGGCCGCAAGAGGCCTCTACGGGAAGCCCAGCCTGTGTAATGCAAGGAGTTCGGATGGACTGGGGGCCCGGGAAAGCTGGACTGGGACCCGAAAGAGGACTTCAGAGGCCCAGACTCGGAGAGGTCGGCCGTGCAGCAGGGCTTCGGCCGAATGGGGCCTCCACAAAAAGTTCACCCCAGGGTTCCCTTTCGAGCCCATTCAGAGTCTGGACCCACTCGGCCACCGAATGGACATAGGAGTAAGACCACCGGCTGCCGAGCGGTCCGACTTCGCGCCGTCATATTGGAATTGAGCTCGTGCGGCGGCTCATTCGGCGGCCGAATGAGTTCAAACGCCGAACGGGCTCAGGAGGGAGCCCTGGGCCTCACCCTGCAGCCCAAGGACTTTCCATGGACCAAGGGCCTGGGAATGCTGGATTGGCCATTGACAACCTCTTGGAACGCAGGATACGCATGGCACCATGGCAGAATGAAAGCGGTTTCTTGGCACACATCCCTACTTTCGCCTCCAAGATGCCGAAACCTGCCGCCCTCAGAAGAAGAAGCCCAGGATCTTCCCGCCAGTGTGCTTCCGACGCGCTTCCTCCTGGTCCATGATCCCATACGGCGTAGTCAGGACGACGTGACCGAACTGACGGGAGGGTAGCAGGTCGCTCGCAATCTGCTCGATACCACCAAGGGCGACATCGAAGCGCGGGGAGATTACACCGCACTTGTTGATGCGCCCGATCAGGTCCACCACGACCTTGCCGGCGCGGTGGTCGTCGATGATCTCCAGGTCCCCGATGTAGCCCTTCTTCTGCATCACCTGCAGGAACTTGATGATCACCTTGGAGTTGGGCCGCACAAGGACCTGGCGCTTGCCCCGCTTCTCGGCGTTAACGATGCCGTTCAGGCAGTCGCGCAGCACGCTGATCTTCACCATTGCTGCCGGGGTGAGCCACCGATGCTGGAAGGGGTTCGCTGTGTTGCACTTTCAACCTTGGGCCAAAATGGCTCTACGGAGGAAGGGGGAGGAAGCGGCGGAGGCGGAGGACGCCGACGACGAGGGGGACGAGGAAGGGGAGGGAGGGGACGAGAAGGGAGAAGAGGGAGCGGGGGAGAGAGGGGCGGGGGGAGGGGCTGGGGAGGTGGAGGGGTGGGGGGAGGTAGAGAAATGGGTGAGGGGGGCAGGGGGGAGGGAGGGGGAGAGCCCTTGCTGTGGCCCAAACCACCCCCCACGCACACACCCAGAAGCCGCCCCGCCGTCCCCCAGGGCGGCTGCCCGCGACAGCTCGCGCCCGCGCCTGCGAATAGCAGGCCTGCGGTCAGCGACTTCGCTGGGATGGGGTGCGCCACCTGCCGCGAGGCGCGCGCGCGCACGTTTGGTCTCGGCAGGCACCGCGGACGAGCCACAGCGAGCCAGAAGTGTCGAGGCACCAGTTCTAGCTGAGTCGTCTTGGAAGCCCATTCTGGCATGCACCGCATCGGTTTAGTGGCCTCCAGTGGCCTTTAGCGGCCCCTAGTGTGATATCAGCGGCCTTTAGTAGCCTTCTGTCGCCTTTTAACAGCCTTTCGTGGCCTTCAGCTGCCTTTAGTAGCCCTTAGAGGTCTTCAGCGACCTTGTTAGCAGCTTGCTAGTAGCCTCTACAAAAGTGCACAGAGGTGTCTCATGCAACAGTCCCATCACTGGGTTGGAAATTATACATGGTTTAAACATGGACTACATGTTGAAGACATGTTACCTGCATGATTAAAGCATGTTCTAGACATCTGGTTATTATTTGGCACCATGCCTCCTCTCCATTGATCGTCTTCCAAGAAGCAACACCGAGCTGAGCCTCATGCAAAAATGAAGAGCCGGACAGAGGGGCCGCAACCGACCGTCCGCAGATTCCAGAAGCGGCCACCCGGGACGGTGCAGCCTCGGCAGAGGGGGAGCTGGCCAAGCGGCGGCGCTTCGGCGGCTCGACCACCTCCCCGTGTCTTCGAGATCTGGGGCCTTCCTGCTGAGAGCGCGCAGGCAACAGTCCGCATACTGACCGTGACGGCTGGCATCGAGGCGCGGGCGTCTAAGCTGCTGGCTGGTGGCATGCGGCAGTAAGTCAGCATTGCGCTGCGTGCCTCAATAACCTGGCGAGAGCCCATGACGGGCCGGACTCACCATCCTTGGCGGGAAGCCTGTGATACTTCATATATGATTGGGCCGTCTTCTACCTGATAAGATGTTGGCGTCTGCCTGTTGCTCTTCCTCCTCATCCTCCTCCTCATCCTCCCTCATCCTCCCTCATCCTCCTCCTTGCTCCCCCGATGTCTACGTCCCGTCCTTGCACTTGTGGGGAACTGTTTTTCCTCCTGCTCCCCCTCTGTTTCCTCCTCCTCCTGATCCTTCCCCCTCCCTCCCCCCAGTGCTCGCACGCGCGCCCGCTTCTAACAGTGAGGCCCAGTGAGTCACATTCCACGGCCGCACCACGGCCTCTGCTCGTTGCTCTGTGCGCGGGTTGTTTCTTTCCCCCCTTCCTCATCCTCCGGGCTCCCGTGCCGCTGCCGCCGTCGTCGTCGGTGCGTGACCCTAGCCCGTGCTCGCCGTTGCCAAGATGTTCACACATGTTCGCCGGCAGGCACGGAGGCCGACTTCGTGGCCCAGGGCCGCCTTGCACAGGAGGCCGGCCGCTGCTGCTGCGGCCCTCTCCAGCTGACAGCTCCTGCCGCTGCTCGTCCAAAGGCTCTCTACATGAGAATCAGAACATCCACACTGATGATCATGACGGCTGTGCGCCAAGCGCCGCTGGAAAAGATCACCTGCTCTCGCGAGCTCACAAAACACACCTCCGCAAAGGGTAATGAAAAGTTGCTTCAGAGCGAAAATCGAAGAACCTTCCTAACACAAAAAATCCGCTGATGTTCCCTGAGAAGGTGGAGGAAGAGGTAGGAGGGATAAGCATGCCCTCATTCCGCGCTCCAGCTGAGAAAGACATGTGGCCGTTCTTGTGGCCGACTGAGAAACTCCCTCTCAGAGCCGATCGCCTAAGCGCGCGGCCATTGACCCTAATGCGGCCAGAGCTAGCCACCACGCCTGCCGCCTCGTGGCCAGGCTCGAGTCGGGGGTCGCAGTCGCGGTCGCTGTCGAGGTCGTGGCCAAGCTCGAATCAGAAGCCCGAGTCGCGGTCGCAGTTGAGGTCGCGGTCGAGGTCCCGGTCGCAGTTGCAGCCGTGGCGCTGGTCAAGGTAGTGGTGCTGGTCGCCGCTCTGCTCGTCGCAGCTGTGTTGGTCAAAGTGGTGCTCATAGTTGTCGCAGTGGCTGTAATGATCCTGATTTCTGGTGGCGAGACGTCAAACGAAGATTCTACCATATCTATGCCTCGCGACAGGAGGCTTGCTTGCAAAGACGTTGTGAAATTATCAGCATCGTGAACAATCGCGTTGGTCATATCAAAGAGTTGCTCGGCAGTGGTTACTGGCGCAACGATCTCAAACCCGATAACCCACAAACTGGACATCGACCGGGATGAAGATGAGGCGACGGATACCGAGAGCTGGCCAACACCTAGCCCATAAAAACTCGACAGATAAAAAGTTACACCATCCGTCACCTCGTCTTGTGTGCCAGAACTTTCAAATGACATGGAACTGATCACTACGTAAAGCGGCGTAGTGGTAGTAGTCTGCGTAATACTAGTACTGGTCGCAGTGGTACTGCTCTCGCTGGCGCTGCTCCATGCGGAACTGGTCACTGTGGTGCCGATTGCGCTAGTGCCACTGCCACTGGTGCGGACGCTTGTGCTGCTAGCACTGGTACTGCTCACTGGCTCGGCGACGCTCGATGCAAGCTCGGCAGACCAAAGCGAATTCTGGAGAGC